TCAGGGAGGGGGATAAGACTCGCGGTAGATTAAATCGTGAGGCCGTCGATCGTGACGCGCCGCCCGGTCCCCTCCAGCACTTCGATCTGCACCGTCACCGTCCCCGGCGGTAGGCAGTCGGCGAAGCGGTCGCCCCATTCGACGAACGTCAGTCCCGCGCCCGCGGCGCCAAGTCCGGCGAAGTACTCCTCGACGCCCAACTCGATGAACTCGTCCTCGTCTTTGAGGCGGTAGGCGTCGAAGTGATAGATCGGCGTCCGGCCCGTGCGGTACTCGTTGACCAGCACGAACGTCGGGCTCGTGACGTCTTCACGCACGCCCAGCTCCGCCGCCACGGCCTGCACCAGCCGCGTCTTCCCGGCGCCGAGCTGCCCAATCAAGGCGATCACCGCCGGCGGCTGCAAGGTGTTGGCGAGCTTGGCGCCGAGGGCCGCCATCTCGGTTTCGTCGGCAATTTTAATGATCTGCGTCATTGGTGCTGATAGCCCTTCGCATCGAGTGGCGTCGCTGTTCCGTCGGCGTAACGAAGCGAGACGCCGGAACCGGCCATAATCTCACCGATGCGGGTCAGCCCGCAAGCGACAGGCATCTCAGCGAGCAGCCGCTTGGCGTCGTCCGGTGCGGCGGCGACGAGGAGTTCAAAGTCCTCGCCGTCGGACAACGCATGATCGAGCGCCGCCTCGCCCGTCATCTTCGCCGCATTCGAGATCGGAATGGCATCGGCATCGACGAGGGCAGCCACGCCGCTTGCTTCGCACAGCCTTGTGAGGTCGAGCGACAAGCCGTCGCTAAGGTCCATCAGCGCGCGAAGTGGCGCCGCAGCGTGCAGCGTCAGCGCCTCGTGCACACGGGGTGTGAAGTCGAACTGCTTCGCCGACAGGCTGCCGCCCAAGTCGCCGGTCACGAGCAGCACGTCGCCCGGTCGAGCGCCGTCGCGCCGAACCACCCCTCGCTCGGTTGCCTCACCGAATGCCGTCACGTTGATCACCAGCGGTCCGGCATGGACGTTCGTGTCGCCGCCGATGATGGGGCATCCGAACTCTTTGGCGAGCGGCGCCATCCCTTCGACGAGCCGCATGGCGAGCTGCTGCGTCGTTACTCCCCCGACCCCGCCGCGCGGTAGCGCGAGACTCACAAGGCAACCCACGGGCCGCGCCGCCATCGCCGCCAAGTCGCTGAGATTCACGCCGAGCGACTTGCGGCCGATACGCTCGATGGCGTGCTGCGAGGTGTCGAAGTGGACGCCGTCGATCAACAGGTCGGCGGTCGCCACGAGTTGCGACCCGCCGAGAGCGACAACCGCCGCGTCGTCACCGACGCCGATCTGCCCCTCGCTAAGGGCGGGCAGTCGTTCGTGCAACCAGCGGACGAATTCAAGTTCCATGCCCCAATCGTAGGGTCCGCTGTGCGGACCGCAGAGGGGGGACAAAGCCCACGATCTCGGGATCGGTACCAGGTTCACTCATCGCGACCACGATTCGCCTTGGCGAAAAATCGTTCGTGCCGCCGAATCAAACGTACGGTCCACAGCGGACCCTACCGGCGCGTCGCATCGACCTTCATCGCTCCGTACAGCGTCTCCTCGCCGCGGAGGATGTAGAACTTCACCTCGCCGAGCGTCGGCAGCGATTCGTTGCTGACGATGTAGCGGATGTCTTCGTCCGAAGCGGTCTCCCACTTGTGCATCCCGACGAGGATGTCGCCCGCACGGATCCCCTTGGCGGCGGCGGGACCGTCGCCGCGGACATCGACCACCCGCATGCCGCCGCGGTAGCGACTGCCGCGGGACTCGAAGGTCGCCTTCGGTTCCACGTCGAGCTTCATGCCCAGGACCTGCCACGCCGGGTCGGCAGTCGCCGCAGCCGGCGCCGTGGTCGAGGCGAGGCTGGCCGCCACGTCACGGGCCGGCGAAGAACCGCGGCGAGCAACGGTGAGCTGCACGTTCATCGGCTGGCCGCCCCGACGCACTTCCATCGCCACCCGCTCTCCCACTCCGCGCCCGAGCACGGCGCGTTCGACGTCGAGCGCGCGGGCCACGTTAACATCGCCGAGGCGTGTGATCACGTCGCCGGGACGCAGACCGACCTGCGCGGCGGGGCTGCCGGGAACAACACGCCGCACGATGGTGCTCGCGCCATCACGGGTCGTGCCGACCTCGATGCCGTGCCACTTGTTCTCGAGCTTCTCGACGCTCATCAAGTCCGCCGCGACTTGCAGCGCCTGATCGACCGGGATCGCGAAGCCGATCCCCTGGGCGCCGGCGCGGACCGCCACGTTGAGGCCGATCATCTTGCCTTCGATCGACAGCAGCGGGCCGCCCGAGTTGCCCGGGTTGAT